TGTCATCCACTCTCATGTCCTGGTAGCCCCGAGAGCTCTACGGTGATAGGAGGCCCTATCCCATAACAGGCCTACTCTTGGGAGGTCCCTAAAGCTGCCAGGGCTGGCAGACTGGCTGTGGATACGATGGGGAGGTTGGGAGGAGAACAGGAAAGGTCTTGTCAGGGAGCTCAGGGGAAAGACAAGAAGAGCCCTCCCAGAAAGGGTCACAGCATTCCCAGAGGTCACACTAATGTGGCCATGCACATTAACAACTTCAGGGAGAACCTTGGATTTGGAGGGGTAAGCAATGCTAAAGAGTATACTTCATGTGGAGATGGCTTCCCAGGTCAAGGGGACTGGCCCTGGGGAACAGGTGCGTGAGAGTGTGTGCATGTGAGAGAGAGAGAGAGAGAGAGAGAGAGAGAGAGAGAGAGAGAAAGAGAAAGAGAGAGAGAGAGAGAAGAAATATTTGGGCAGGACTAGGCTGTGAGCTCCTTGAGGTCAGGAACTGTGTCTTGGTCACTGTTGTTTTACAAGAGCCTAACACGTACCTGGTGTGCATACGGTAGGCACTGTTGAATAGGTGGTTCCAGATGTACTTGCATTGAAATTGGGGTCTGTCAGCTCTTCTCTTCCACAGCTGCACTCAGGCTCTTCATTCTCTCAGGACTTGCTGGAAGGAGATATCTAGACCATCCCTGGACAGTTCCTGGATGGGCACTTCACCAGCTGAAACACTACAGACCCTGGCAGAACTGAGCCACAGTTGGGACAGCGCCACCTTGTGGTGTCTCTTGGGAGAACTCTTGGAGAGACCCCAGCGGAGAGGACAGGGTCATCTCTCCTGGGAAGGGGATCACACCAGGCAGTAGCCATCCCTCCTCCTACATTTCTGATTCTGCATTGCCACACCAGTGTTCCTGTGGCGGTCTTACCATTTGTTCCTTCCTTATGCCAGCATTTTCTGAGAGCCTGCTCCATGCCAAGCTTGTAGGGGATACAGAGCTACATCAAAGGCACAGCCCTTGGATAGCTCATGGTCCCCCTGCATGGATTCCACAAGGTAACAAGACCAACAGGGTTATAATCAGGCAACAGGAAAAACAATCCTATAGGTGCTGAGGAGGCACTAGAACATTCCCAGCTCAAAACTCTCTATTGTTCACCTCTCCCTTTATTCCTCTCACGAAAGCTCAAATGTTTTATCCTTTCTCTCAAGAAAGACTTCATGACATGACTCCCACACATCTTTCCATGACCCCACCCATGACCCTGCACCTCTCCATTCCCAAGTGCTTCTGTTCCCTGTGAAAGCCATGTGCTTTCCCAACCTCTCCACCTTTGCCCACACCCTGGAATGCACCCCTTCCCTATCTCCCCATCTCGAAACCTGTCTCAGCTCTCCCTGTCTCCATGAAGACTCTTCTTACTTGGCAGAAAGGTCTTGACTGTTTGAACTCCCAAAGTACCTTGTTGGTAGGGCTTTTGTTAGCAGCACACACTGGCTGTCCCACAGATCACAGATACTGGCGATCGGTGTATATTACTCATTCTCCCACTAGGCCCTTGTAGCACTGAGCTAAGCACATCATATGCCCTTGTTAAATGATGACTAGATGGATGGATAAATAAATATATGCATGGTATATGGATAAATGGATGGAAGTATGGATGGCCAGATAGATGACAGATGGGTTGGTGGATGGACAGATAAGTGGACGGATAGATGAATGAATGGAGCATCCTTCCATAGAAGGACTCACAAAAGGCTATGTAGTAGCAGGGGCTTCAAGGGAGGAAGGACCCCATGCCAGGACATGAAGACGACAGCAACCAGGCTGAACCTTCCTTCACTAACATATGCATGCTCAGCTACTGGTCTCCCAGCGGCCTGGATATATTCCCTTTCCTGGAGATGCTCCTTCCCTCATACACCCTGGTCCCTCAGGAATGCCTTCATTAATATATATTATGCTGTCTGCCTGCACTGTAATGACTCTGTGAGTTTCATCTTGCATATCCCCTCTCCTATATTATACACACCATATCTTGTGAGCTCCCTGAAGGTAGGAAGCATGCCTAGTCTCTTCTGTGTCCCTAGGGCCTGGCATACATGTTTGATGGGTAAGCGAACAAATGAAAAACTGAGTGAATGCTGACCCTTTTCCCCACAGATACACTTTGCACACTTCCTAAGTCCTCATGCTTGGCCATCTCTTGTGGTCCTCTCCTTCTCACACACACACACACACACACACACACACACTCACACTTGTGACCCTCTGAGGTCCCAGAGTTATGGCCTGGCTCTGGGTTTCCTTTACCCATTTGTGGCTGATCTAGGGAAGTCCTAGGCTCTCCTGAGTGTCTGAAAGAGAGCGAGAGCTCTTGGATCCTCTAAAGCCATGTTAACTGGGCCCCAGGTGGGGCAGGACAGGGCTTCCCTGGGAAGAACATGGCTGTTGGGTGGGTAAAGGGTCCTGTGCTAACCTGAGGGCTGTGGCCCCAAACTGACCACATCCTCCTGTGTCTGCTGTCCCTACTCCTGACCAGTGAGGCTGTCCCAAGGTGGGGGGTGGTTGTGGCCTCCATCTCAAGGCTGGCTGGCTGGCAGACACAGCCAGATTTAGAAGTCATTTTCGCAGCAGGGAGCCTCCAGCCTCCCACCCACGGACCCTGCAGGGCCAGTCTGAGATAGGGCTCACCAGGGGCTGGCCCTCAGATCTGCAGCCGCTCCTCCCCTTCTTCTCTCTCCCTGTCTCCCCAGAACTTTGGCAGCTGGTGCTGACTGTATCCTTAGGCAAAGATAGAGGAAGTTCTAGGGAAAGAAGTATGTTACATTGACACCTTAACCGCCAAGTGCTTCCAGTATACCACTCACCCATTCAAGGGGCAGTTTGTGCCCACCACAGGGCTCCTCTCCCCTCTCCATCTGGCCTCTGCTGCCTGTTTCTCCTCCTCTCCTACTTCTGATTCTCTTCCCCGTCCTCCTATTCTCATACCCCAACACTAATGAAATAGCCCTAGAGAGAAATAATAATAACAATAATCATAATCAGTGCTAACACTTAGGTGTCACTTACTATGTCCCAGGCAGGCATTGTTCTTAAGTGCTCTACAAATCAAATCATTTAATCCTCCCAACAACCCTAAGAGAGAAGTACTTTTTTTTTTCTTTCTCTGAGACAGAGTCTTGCTCTGTCACCCAGGTCTAGAGTGCAGTGGTGTCATCATAGCTCACTGCAACCTCAAACTCCTGGGCTCAAGTGATCCTCCTGCCTCAGCCTCCTGAGTAGCTGGGACTAAGGATGTGCACCACACCTGGCTAATTTTTCTGTTTTTTGTAGTGAGAAGATCTCACTCTCGCTCAGGCTGGTTTCGAACTCCTGACCTCAAGAGATCTTTCTGCTTTGGCCTCCCAGAGTGCTAGGATTACAGGCATGAATCACTGCACCCATCGGAAAGGCACTTTTAATAATCCCATTTTATAAGGATGCTGAGGCACAGAGAGGTTGAGTAACTTGTCCAAGGTCACAAAGCTTGTATGAGGTACAGGCAAGATTTAAACGTAGGCTGCCAGGCCTCAGAGTACATGTTCTAAACACATTACCCCAGTTCTCTGACAATGGCAGCAGCGTGGGTGAGCTCTTAGAAATGTTGTTCATCCTCAAAGGGGCTCAGGCAGCATGGTGGAGCCCACCCCCACAGAGCCAGTCCCTCTACCACGCAGCTCATCTCTTCTATCCGCCCCAGAGCCCTGGAGCCCCTGGGCTGTAGCAAAATCCAGGCAGATGCTGTCACCACTGTCCTGGCCTTCCTCAACTTTCCTCCTTGTGTGAAGGTCCAAGGCACACACACTCCTCAGCTCGACCAAGTTCACCCCAATCTGGCCTCAGTTTTCAGTCCTGCCTTATCTTCCACAAATCCCCCAAATGTACTCCCAACTGCAGTCAAACCAGACCATTGGGTAATGTCCTAAACATACCCTGTTTCCCCGCATCCATGCCTCTATTTTTGCTGTTCCCTCTACTTGAAATGCTCTCTCACCAAATTCTATCTCAGATGCCACCTTCTCCATGGAGCCTTCCCTGATCTCCTAAAATCCACACCATCTCCCTGTTTGACTCCTTATAGTACTTAACACCCACTGCTCGGTACTATCATTTGTGTATTTTCGTCTTCGCCCCACTGTCAAGCAGGCCTTACTCATCTCTATCCTGGAGTCCAGTCGAGTGCTTTGCTCCTGGCAGGTGCTCGGTAAACGCTCAGTAGTTAGAACTGGTGGTAGGTAGTTGGAATTGCAGTGGAAGGGAGACAGACCTAAGGCACCCTGGACCTCTGCCCAAGGTGATCCCCACTTCCTTTACCTCCTCCGGCAAGAGCTAATTTGAAACCTGGCAGTGTGGGTTTCAGGTAGGTTCTGGGATGGACCTTCCCCAGGAGCTCTGACCAATGCGCTCCCCTCGGGTTCAGAAACTCAAAGAGAAGACCCTCCCCCGCTGAACCAAGGCTAGCTGAGCCAGCTCGGGGTCGGGTTGTCCCAGGCTGCCCTGCCCCACTCCGAGTCCTGCTCAGAGTCTCTCTGGGTGCGGGCGGGAAGTAACGTCGAGATAATTGGAGACTAAAACCGTAAGTGGTTTAAGAGCGGGCTGGGGACCTGAATGCTGAGCGGGAGTTGGGACTCGGTGGGAGTGGGAGCAGAGGCGAGGCTGGGGGCTGGGCCAGCACCGGGCGACTGAGTCTGGGCGAAGCCCCCGCGCCTACCGAGCCAGCAGCTAAATTTACCCCGCTGACTCAGCCCTTGCCCGGAATGGGGGGCGGGGGGAAGAGCCGGCGCGGGTATGGTGGGGGGCAAGGAAGGGAGAGTCCCGGCTGGGGGAGACAGGGATGGGCCAGGAGTTACCACGGGAGAAAGGAGTACTGCTCGCCCTGACACCGACCGGAAGGAGCGGAGGAGCCCTGGGGGAGGGACACTGTGGGAAAAGGGTCAGTGAAAGAAAGAAGATGCCAACGCTGGATAAAGGGAAGCTTAGATTTATTGAGCGCCTACTGTGTGCCAGGCACTGTGCAAGGCGCTTTACATACATTATCGCATTAAATCCTCACAACAACCCTGCGAGGTAGGTGTTTATAAACCCCCATTTGACAGATGAGGAAACTGAGGCTCAGGGAGGTGAAGTGATTTGGCCAAGTTCACATGGCTATTACATGGCAGAGACAGAGGTGTCCAGGATCAGCGAGAAAAAAAGACTTCAGTGTCTGAGTCCCAAGCCGGTTGGCGTGGATGAGTACAAAGAGGGGCTCGGCGCGCTCCAAAGGTCTGGGAGGCCGGAGGCCTGCTCCCGGCTCCACAGGATGGAGGCGGCAAGGCGGGGGACTGGCGCGCGGTAAGTAGGGGATCGTATTAACTCTCAGTGCCCAGTGCCGGGATAGGAATAGCAACTAGGGAAATCTGCGGCCTGCGCGCGCCCCGTAGTGGCTACAGCGAGTATCACACCCCACACCTACAGGGTTCTTGGGACCAGCCTCCTTCCTTGCCTAGCCGGTTTCTGGAAGAGGCAGAGATGGGAGAAAGAAATTTTCAGGGTTCTTGCAGGTGGGCGATACCACTGGGAGGGAAATCGTGGTAGTGCCTCAGAACATCACTAAGGAACACTGGGGAGGAGGAAAAAAGGAAGGCCTAAAGACGGTTCCCAGCTGATTCATTGGCTGCCTTCCCTCCCCAGCTCAGACCACCACAGGCCAGGGTAAGTGACAGGGCCACTATCCTGCCCTGCCTTGGGAAGCCTTCACCGAAACTGGGAAGACTAGGACAAGAGCGCCTTGCTCACTTACTCAGCTCTTCTGCAAACCCTGGACAGTCTCCTAAATTGAGGATGAGTGCAGGTGACAAGGAGACCAGACAGGGGCCCTCAGACTCTGTTCACTTATTCCCAACTCTCCTTCTTGGTTTGTTGAGGGGAGGATGAGATAGAGGCCTCTCCGAAGATCCCAAAACGTCAGGGATGGAAGTACAGACCTTAGAACTCCACCATTTTACATACCAGGAGGCCTGGAGAGGGAAAGTGACTTCCCTAAGGTCAACCAGCAAGTCAGTGGCAGAGCTGGGATTCAAACCCAAGACTTGTGACAACCAAGGTGAGCCCTCTTCCTGGTTTGCTGGTTGTTTCTTGACCTATTCCTCTTCTGCCAAGAACCACTCTGTCACCTGGTCCAAAGCCTCTCCATCGCTTTCTCCCTCCTACCCAGAAGCCCTGCCCTGCCATTGCCCTCCTATGACTGCCACCATCCCTGCCCTCCTGCCTGATCCTGGCTAGACCTCTCTGCTCAGCTGTACACCTAGGGCATCAGCCCTTGCTGAAGATCTCACTCTTGTGCCCTGAGTGGCAGGCATTAAATCTTCTGTTTACCCTCATCTCTCCTGAAACAAAATTACCTCCGATGGGCATATGCACCCTGTCTTTTTTTTTTTTAAGAGACAGGTTCGCACTCTGTCAGTCTAGCTCACAGTAACCTCAAACTCCCAGGCTCAAGTGATCCTCCCGCCTCAGCCTCCCAAATAGCTGGGATTACAGGCACACATCACCAGGCCTGATTAATTTTAAATTTTTTTTGTAGAGACAGGGTCTTACCGTGTTGCCCAGGCTGGTCTCAAACTCTGCCTCTGCCTCCCAAAGTACTGGGATTACAGGCATGAGCCACCGCGTCTGGACCGTTCCTTTCTTTTCTATTTTAAGTATGGGAACGGGAATGGGTAGGGATACAAGGAAAAGAGAAGCAAAGGAAGTCTGTGGGGAAGAATGGGTACCAGTGAGCCCAAGGATGGATGCGTTAGGGCACACAAATACAAGAAGGGGCCTGTCACTGCCTCTCCCTATTTCCCTGTGGGGTCCCCTTGGTGTCCCTCGCCCGGAAGAGGGCCTCCTCGGTTTGGCTGATGACATCTAAAATCTCCCGGGTACTGTCGCTCAGCTCAGCTGTCTTCCCACCTTCCTGGGGCTGGCTGTTCCCAGCCCCGGGCAGGGTCCTCTCGTTCCGCCAGGAGGCGCCCGGGGCTTCTGTGTCGCTTCCTTCATAGGAGCTGCTATGGACGCTGAGCTCCTCAGCTTCGTCGGTGTCTGAGTCCGGGGCGGTGTGGCGGCGGATGCGGGACACGGCTTCCCGCAGGGCCCCGGCGTAGGGCCCTGGATTCCGCGCCCAGCCCCGGCCAGCGCGCCACTGGACCGCCGCCACTTCCGAGCCCTCCGCTCTGCCCGCGCCTCCCAAAGCTGCTGGGCCTAAGGCTTGGTGCTCTGGGCTACCTGGCTGCGTTGGGGCGTCCCGCAGGCGTACTTCACCGACTGGGAGCCCCAAGATACGCGAGGCGCGCTCCTCCAGTGAGGAGTCCGCCGGCTTCCCACCCTCTGCTTCGCACCCGCGCCCCCCACCGGGCTGGTGTAAAAGGCGACTGCTCAACAGCAGCTTTTGACAAGGGGAGGAAAAGACCGCGGCCCCCTCGCTCTCCTCCTTACCGGCCTTCGGTTGGCTGGGGGCATCTCCCACAACATGCGGCACTCCAGAGGGCAAATGCTGCACCTGCTGGGTTTGGGGGGTCGGAACATACTGGGATCGTATCACCACGCACGTGGCGTCAATGACAAAGACGCCTTCTCCACTAGCCGGCCCCCGGGAACTGCGGGGCAAGGTGTGGGCGCGGCGGGTCGCCTTCCAACCCTTCAGGAACTCGGGTCCTCCCTCCTCCCTATGACCCAGGGACTCTCTCCATCCCGTGCCTCCTGGAGCCCAAGGTCTGGGAAGTGTCTGGCTCTGCCTGGGCGGCTGCTTTTTAGGGGAGGAAATCCAGCATTTGGGGAACCAGATCGGTTCTCTTCCTTCTTTCCCTTCCCTCGAGCCCTTGAGATGGTGCCTCGCCCTGGGAGCGGGACGCGGGGGGCTGGGAGTCGCAGTTGCAGACCCTGGTGGAGCTGTCACGGTGCCTGGACTCCCTGTAGCTTTGGCTTGGGAATGGCTGTAGCTACTACCACTGTTCAGGCCAGCAGCAGCCGGCCCCAGGCTTTTCTCCGCGGCCCCCTTGCCGGGCTCCGGCCTTGCTCTGGCCGCTCCACAGCCTGGGGATCCCCCCAAGAGACCCTGCCCCTGTCGGAGACCCCAAGCCCCGAGGACGTCCCGGTAGATCCGAGGATCCAACCTCTTCTTTGTGCGCCCTCCCTCTGTCCTGGTGGGGGTTGGAGTTGGGGTTGATGAAGTGGGCGCCTGGGAGAGCTCGGGGCCTCGCTTAGTCCCCAAGGTCCTGTGAGGGCCTTCGTAAGAAGGTGGAGCCACGTAGGGTGGCGGCCGGTCCCAGCGGCGTCGCGGGGCGGTCCCAGCAGAGCCTCTTAGCAGCAGGTGAGCCTCGTAGCTGGGGGGCCCTGGCCGCCGACCTCCCCAGGGCCCCGCCCACGCCGACCCTGGGTCGCTCTGCGGCTGCGCGGATGTACGGGGCGCTCGCCCCACTGGCCCGGGACGCTCTGGCAGTGAGGGAGCCAGCAGCCTTGCAGGCTGGGCCGCCCGAGGGGCGTTGCGGGGCTCTAGGCGGGGCCGACCCGGGGGGCTCCGTCGGGCCCCACCAGCCTTGCGCCTTTTTCGCTCGGTCTCCTTGGCCTCCCGCTCCTGCGACGCCGCTTTCCTTTTCTCTTGCTCCCGGGCTCGGACCTCGGCCAGGGACCCCGCCCGCCAGTTGGTCGCCTCCTGCAGCACCCTGGAGGCCCAGGGCCGGCGGGGCGGCGGCTCAGGGGATCCTGGGCGCGGCCCACACCTGGGACAATGAGCAGGAACCCAGGTGAGCAGCTTGTGGGGAAAGGGAGCGGAGGTCCGGGGAGCTGGGAGCACTGGAGACCACTTGGGGCAGCCACGTGAAGGGGTGTGTGTGAGTGTGTGCGCGTGGGCACGTGCGTATATGTTAGGACTGAAGTCGAAGCGGGACTCCTCGCCATCTCTCCATGCACACTTTAACAGCGTCTGCCCCATCTCACCTCCTGCCCTTTCTCACGCCCACCCCTGTCCCCCAAACAACACTGGAAGAGTCAGGGCCCAGCCCTCGGGAGGGGGTGGGAGAGGGAGGCGTGGGAAAGAGAAGGGGGACCAGCAATATACGCTGGCGCCTGCAGGGAGGTCCGGACCCCACTCCCCGCTCCACCACTCTTCCCCTCACCCCTCCTTCACTCACGTGCGGCTCGGGGGCCCGCGAGCCCAGTGGCTGGCCTGGAAGTCCATGGGCTGTCGAGAAGGGGCGCGGCGACTATAATGACAGGAAATAGTCTTCACTTCGATCACCAAAAGCTTGGACTTCTGCACCCAGAGGCAGCTGCCAGACTCCTCGTCCTGGAGCTCCTGGGGGCTGTCGGGCCCCTCGGAGAATAGCGGGCCATTCAGCATCCTGCCCCACCCCACCCCGGCCCCCCCCCCTCCCCCCCGCCCCGACAGCCCCCTCCCAGCCCAGGGAGCCGGCGCCCACTGCAGAGCGGCGGGCCCAGGACTGAGAACTATATATACCCGGGCACACGTGTGTGCCTGTCTGTGTGTGTGCGCGCGCATGTGACACTGCGCGGACGGCTCCGCGCTGCTACCTCCCCCATGTGCACGGCCGCCCCCTGGGGCCCGGGATTGGACGCCCCTTCCCACTGGTCTTGTCCCCCAAGCCTGATGGGACCGCACGAGTGGTAGGGGGAGGGACTTAAGATTCTTGCCAAGATGACAGTGCCCCCTCCCCCGCTGTCCCCCTTTCTTCAACCTTCCTGTCGTTTTAACCCTTTATTCTCCAGCTTGCCATGCTGCCTGACCACCAGGGTTCTGCCTCTGACTTCCTGCTTCAGGTTTCAGTTTCCCCGACAGGGAGTGGTGAGAATGGAACTCAAGGTCTCCGCCTGCCACTCTGCTGGTTTCCATGGGGTTGGGGTGCAGGAGGGGCTGGCCCACGGCTGGGGGGCTATTTTTAGCGGCAGTTCGGGTACAGAGATGAGATGAGTAACCAGCTCCCATGTGGTGGAGAGAGGAGGAGGTGGCTTTCACTGAAGCTTTTGTGTGACTCGGGGAGAACTGCCTTCCCCAAGCTCAAAAAGGGTGACCCCTACAGCCTTAACTCCTCACCTCAGTGCTGCAGCGCAGGGCTGCTGGTACAACAGGACACAGGAGTCTGCCTTGGCTACCCAAGCTGCCCCACAGCTCCCATTCTACATGTTTGTCCTTGGGCACCCAGGGAGCCCTCCCCTAGCAGCAGGATCTCTCCCCAATCCAGAAGCCAGGATTTTGGGGTTACATTGTTCTGTGCCTACACAGTTCTGCCCAGCTTTATGGAGGACAGAACAGAGTGCTTGCACACGTGCACCCTTACAGAGGGATGGAGGAGAAATGGTGTGCTCCCTTGGCAAAAGTAATCCCTTAGCAACTGAAGTGATAAATGTGGCCTCTACTTCTCAGTGTAGAGCTCCACCACCACAATGCCTAGTTCACACAGCCCCCACCTGAAGTGGTGCTCAAGATGCTCACCTTTGAGGCTTATTCTGTCCTGGGGGTTGTTGCTTATCCACATGACTCCTCCCCCCAAGCGTATACCAGGTGTCCCCTGATTCACCATGGTAATGTTAGTGGCAGCACAGCCCACGCCAACCCTTCCATGCAGAGACTTAGCAACCATGCCTGGCAACCATGGCAGCAGCTCCAGTGGAGGGGAGGGGTGCAGGGAGCAGGGAAAGAGTGTGTATGGCAATGGTTCTTTAGGAAGAAGGCATAATTTGCCTCTCCTGAGAGGAATAGGTAAGAATAAAAACCTATGAGGCTCCCAAATTTTATCCCTTGTCTTTCCCTCAGCTCCCTCCTCAGACTCTGAGACTTACTGGTTTGAGTTTTTGGGGAAAATGGGAGAAGCAAGAGATCCCAATTTGTTTTACACTGTAATACATGGAGCCTTTTGCGCACAGACCCTTCCTTTTAAGGGGATGGGGGCCAGAAGGGTTGTTATGGGGCAGAGACTTACTGAGAAGTGATCCAACAAAACCCAAGCATCCTGCTCCCTAACACAGACCTTTAGAGAGAACCCCAAATATCCCTGTCCCATCCACTCTACCCCTCTTGATCCCATGCACCTACCAGCTGCACTGGTGACTCTTCGCTTGAAGGTGCTTCCTTCTACCCTGGATCCCACTGGTCCTAAGGCTTTTTAAAGCCCTTGCCTTCCCCCTAGGCAAATCCTCCTTCACGAGGGAATGTGACATAAGGAGACATCTGTACTTTCCACCATGTACCCGCCCCCACACACATAAACATACTCTAATTCTAATAACTTGGAAGCCTCTCTCCTCCAAGTTTGGGAATGTGCTGAGAGAGCTGTGAAGAGGTGAATGCAGAAACAGGGGCTTCTCTATAGTCTTGATGCAGCACTGAAACCTGAGCTCTCGACAAGGGCCTTGATGCTTTTCCCTGTGTTCCATCAGGAAGCCTGGTTTGGAGGAACCAGTATGGTATGGGTGGGGGTTGATCAGAAGGCTTAGGCACAGTGGGGGTAGGGGCAAGGTATTACTCTGAAATTGCTCCTGGCTTGGATGAGAAATTGCATCATACCTGCAAGGCACGGATGAGATGGTACCCACAGCCTAGCAGTCCTTATGGTGTTCGGAGTTAGCTACTGTTTTGGTTCACATGGTTCCAGCCCAGGGAATGGGTCTGATGGGGTGGCCATCGTCCTGCTGTTCCCCACCTCCCACCCAGCTCATTCTCACCTTGGAAGAAAAGGGATTTGTACGTTCAAAGATAGTGCCAGCTCGGCAAAATCCAAAACACAGTCCAACCTTCCCTAAGAAAAGCTGATGATGGTCTCGCAAAGGAGACCTTCAAGTCTGCCTACTCTTTGGAAATCTAACACTGTTATGGGATTTTCTGTGGGTCCCAGCTATGGTCCAGGCAGAGGGGTAAGAAAGGTAATAAGGGGAACTACAGGGACTAGGGTGGGGAATAATTGTGAAAGGAAAATTAGAGAGATAGTAGTAACTCTTCTGTAGTGGAAAAGAGCATGAACTCTGGGGCCAGATTGCTTGGGTTCAAATCCTAGCTCTACTTTTTACTAGCTGTGTGATCTTGGGCTACTTACTCAGCCTCTCTGTGTCTCAGTTATTTTAAATCTGTAAAACTGGAATAGTGACTACTACTGTTCTGAGGATTAAATGAGTTAATATATGTAAAGCACTGAGAATGATGTCTGCCACACAATTATATGCATGTATGCTATTATTATTGTGTTATTAATGATGAGTTGAAGAAGCCATATAAAGTAGAAAGGTTGGAGCAATAGTGTCCATCAACCGCAAAAATCAAACACGGTAATACCATGACAAGATTCCTGTCATTTAATTAGATTTGCCCATGACCAGCAATAACCTTGGCTAAGCACTCTGTCCTCCTCCTCTACCTAACCCCCATCTCCCTTCATAGGCATGTAGCACAAGAACCCAGAGGCCCTCCTCCCCTCAATCCTCCCCATTCATATTATGGGAAGAAGTGTCACTAAATGGACTCAGCCTCCTCCATATATCATGAAAGAGGATGAATAAAAATATCTTGATGAAGAGTTTTGTTGTGCTATTATCTTCGGGTAGAGTCATGGCAGAGATGGAAGCAAAGGCAGGGTGAGGTCTGGGGATCTCTTAGAGATCAGAATTTGCCTGAGGGGCACAAAGCCCATAGTTCACCCAGAAAGGGGGCTGTCTCTAAGAGGAGAGGGCTAGAATTGGCTAGGCTGAAAGTTTTCTTCAAGCGTATGTGTTAGGGTAAGGGCAGCTAAAAATTCATTCTCCCTCCCCCTGCACCTCCCCTAGCTCCCAGATAGGAGGGTAGGGGGCTCCTGAGCAGGGAGCAGTCACAGTTCTCACAAGTTTCATCTGATTCTCAGAGCTTCCAGCAGTGAGTGGGGCATGGTGCTCCCCTTCCCCCAGCTCAGAGCTTCTTCTCTCCACCTGTGAGCACCAGGGCCTGCAGGATGTCAGACAGTGATACAATTCCCTTGACCACATCATTCTCATCCACCACTACAAGTCGGTGAACCTGGAGTAGAGCAGTAAGGGAGAAAGAGAATGTTTAGTGCCAGCCTCAGTTAGGGTGAGCCCCTCAGCCCCTACCCTCCTTGCCCAACCCCACTCTCATGGCTGCCCTCCCCAGCTGCTTGATGGTTACTAGCCTCCCTACCTCTGCTTCCACAAGCCTGTTGATGATAGTCTCTAGAGTCTCATGCAGGTAGCACTTAAGAACGCCCTCAAAGTAGTGTGATCGATGTTGTAGGGCTTTAGTCACAGACACATCTAGGTTGTTGTAGGTCTTTTCTGCTGCCAGATTCTGGGGAAAGAGAGGAAGGAGCTTGCAGGGAAGCAAGAGAGCCAGCCTCCAAACCCTGAACCCACCCAACCTCACCGGAGGGATTAGGGCAAATTGTCAGCCATGCCCACAAGCCACACCCAGTTCATTCAATTCCTTTTCAAATAGGATTTGAAAGCTTGGAAACTTCCAAGACCCCTTAGGTCCCAGAAGAGAGTCCCTTCTCTCTTTTCACTTCAACACCCTCCACCCATTCCCTACCTCCCAGTCCCTTCACAATCACTCACGATAACATCAAACTTGGAGTAGATGTCCACCACACGTCCTAGGGGGACAAAGGAAGCTCAGCAAGGAGAATCTGGCATCCAAGACTCCCTTTACCCACAGAATCACCCTGCTGGCCAAGCTGAGGGGAAAGCAGATTCTCCCAGAGCCACCCTGACTTCTCTGGACCACTCCCTCTCCCAGACTTTGGCCCAATCTCTCACCTTTCTCATCCACCACTGGCAGCGCTGAGACTCGATGCTGTACAAAGATGCCCAGAGCCACGTAGACAGGGGTGGTAGTGCGGACCATAGCAATATTGGCATAGGTGCCAATCTGTAGCTCTTCCAGAGACTTAGACATGAACTCTGGCTTGGGGAACTCTGTGATCTGAGGAAAGAACCATCAGCTTGACTATCAAGGCCCCCAAACTACCCTTGGATACCCCTCCAACCCAATATATAAGACATAAGAACTGGGCTAAGGAGCACTTACAAACAATTTGAGGAACTTCAGGATTCGCTTGTGGGTGAGGATGTACAAGGTGTTGCCTGATTCTGGGTCAATAACTGGCAGCCTGTGGATCTTGTTTCGAATTAATGAAGATACAGCATCAAACAAGCTGTGGGAAGGTGGGTTATAAAAGTAAGTTCCACAGTGCTGGGGCTGAGGGGGCTGAGGGTGGTTAAATATACTTTGTAAAATGTACATATAAACAGGATAAACTGGTGGTTAGGGGAGGGGGCAGTGTGCAGACCAGACTTAGAGAGAGAGAGAGAGAGAGAGAGAGCGTGTGTGTCGTGTGTGTGTGTGTGTGTGTGTGTGTGT